ACACAATACTGACAAACACATTTGTGAAAGCTGTGTCCTAATCAGTTTAGCAGTTTTAATACAAATTATTAAATCATACATTAATAACAAATGCTTTATCTGGATCCACATGACCCAAAAATTGTGTTTGCAAAGCAAACTTCATAAGCTTTTGTTCCAAGTCACAGTGCTCTTTACAGTCTGTTAATTATGACTGTGGATGAGGCTTTTGAGAAAAGCACATTCGAACAATCATGTTTTCTATCATTCAATGTGTTATCTTTAAATAGATTATACCTTTACTTTGAAGAGTTTAGAAATAAATATTGGTATATCATCTGGACTCTTACCTCAGTCTGTAATTTTGATTTAGCAAAAATTACAAGAAATGGTAAATCAAATTATATATTGTATTGAATTAAGTAATATTTAATAGACATTAGCCAACAATTTTGTGCAAAGCATGCAGTTCAGAAATGGCACTACTCACAAACAGAGCTCAATGGCCTCAGGAAGTCATCAAAGCCTTACAGGTTAATGAGCAAGAACAAGACTGAGTTAGCCATTAGAATTCAAACTACATTTTAATACATACAATTAATGAAAAGCTATTCAATAACGAATGATGTTAATGTGTTTCTACACACTACCTGTTATATTTTTGCTCTAATTTTTAAGGATGACATGGCACTGAATAGACTAAATTAATACTTAAAATTCATGTTCTTAAAAAAAATTTTCAAATCTGTCTTACTTTTTTTTTTTAATCAGGAAAGGTTGACATGAAACGTTTTTACTTATTACAAACATTTTTTATATAAATTAAACCAGTTTAAGTAAGTCATCTTTTCCAAAAAAAGCAATTGACTGGTGTGAAATCACCAGTACTTCTTTCAAAAGCATTTCACCAAACTGAATTGACATATTTTTTAATTTCATATATTAACTCGATGATAGAAGAGCCACTGATTTATTTAGTACAAATAAATTACTTATAAATTCTTACAACATGAAGGCATCTTATGTCTAAATCATCTGTTTCTCAGTAAGCGGCAAAAATTAATAATTATCTCTTTGCTTACCTTCAAGACCCTGCCTGGCTCTCTGTCTTCTGGCTTCATCTGAGTCTTTATGAAGCATGTTCCTTTAAAAGTAAAAAAAAAAAATGCCTCTGAAGTCACACCCTGACCTTATATAAGACCAAATACAGTACATGTCACTGGTTCTTCCTTGCCATTTATTAACAGCTGAAAAACACATTACAAGGTACAACTGCCCCCCAAAATTCCCAATTCCAGATCCCTCAGTTCCAATAGTTGATCTCCATATTAATGGATGATGCATATCACAGGTGTTGTCTTCCTTCAGTTTAAGAACAAAAGGGCAAACACAATATAATAAACTTAATTCATATGGTTCTGACTGGCCAATCTACATAATTCCTGTCCACATAGAGAAGGGGTGTGCTAATTGCTTCATTTCAGTTCTATTTAAGTTGCTTATCTTTTTTTAAAGATTTATGGGATCAAATTTACTGGACTTGTTACTAACCACTCCCAAAAAACTGTATCTGCAGATGTGTGTGAGTATATACAGCCATTCACCTGTGAATTCCTAGGAATATTTTGTGAGTGTATAGATGCCCCCCAACTTGTTACTAGCATAAATATAATCCCACATGTATAAAATAAAACAGTCTCCTACCCATCAAGAGCAAAGTGAATTGCCAGCTGATCCACACTTGATGTTGGTTTATAGCATTTTTCCTATGTACGAAAAAATGACAATGCCCTTTCCATCTTTCATTACAAAGACACAAACCTATAAGTGTAGTAAAGCTATATGATATAAACTTAATTTGGAAGAGAAATCAAATCCACCCTCTTTCAGACTTTAAAAGTCAATAAGTTAGGTGTCAATCACCATTATAATAAAGTGGGTGGAACTTTTTTGTCATTTTTCTGTTTGTTGAACGGATTTTATCTGATTTACATAAAAAAAAAAAAAAACATGTATACATTTATCAGATTAAATTGTTTCCCAATAAAAAATTAGTTTGATTGTCCACTTTTCTTTACTGAATGATTAATTGGTTATGCACTTAGACCACATCAAACTACCTGAGTGTACTTATAATAAATAGCATTTATTCTTAAAATTAATTTCAAACTGCAAACACTTCAATTTTCAGAGGGTACTCTGTAATTTCTAAAGGTTTATTTTAAGAATAGAGTGACATAAAATTGGAAAAATTCTGACCTTGAAACTGTAGCGCACTATGTTGCTAGGAGCATGGGGGTTGTTTGCAGTCAAGATTCTGGTAAACTCCTCTTTTAACTCTGCCTCTGTCAATTCCAACTGGTCATCTGGCTTTATCAGCTGTTTTGGCTAAGGTTAAAAACAATGACATACATAAAATTTTGATTCAATGCTTGTGGGGAGAAAAAATTGTTGTAAAATTAGATGAATGAGTAGTAATATTTACTAATTTTAACAGTTATTGTAGTACATGTATGAATTTTGCTGGCTAATTTGAGATCGACAATGGCCGAAAAAAGGAATCATTCATGACACCAGAAACATGACCAAGCTGGAGATTCGTGTACCTGCATCCATTCGTCCAAGTCATCTCCTATCTGCGTAGCATCATCATCCTCCTAGAAAAATAAATATACCAGTATCCATTCATCTTTCAGTGTTTAAATCATGTACTTGCAGTACTGACATATAGAGAATAGATGAAACTGACAATGCATTCCTTTGTCTCTAGTATCTGTTTAACCTTCATTTACAATGAGAAAATTAGGTTTATTTACCCTATTAGTCCTATGAGTGACCACAACAGATTTTCTCCTTACAACATCAATACATTTCAAAGAAGAAGGGTGAAAAACTCTGTGATTAAGTGCTAAATTCTCAGAGTTAAGAAAAAAAGGTATGGTAGAGAGTGCACAAAATTGATATTCAGACCTTAGGATAAGAAATGAGAGGTTTTAATAAGGGCTAAGATCCAGTATGCACTAGTCACTGAAGAGATGGTCAGATAATAATAAATTGCAAACCTTCTTCTTTGCTTTGACAGTGGCAGTTTTGCTGACTGACTTTACAGCTGCATTTGAAGGAGTGACTCCTGGTTTCTTGTCCTGTCAGGAAACAACATGAACACAACTGTTGAAAGCAATTTTTAATTAAAAGTCAAAAGTAACCCAGGATTACCAGGAATCTTGCAACAAAAAGTGAAACTCAATCATTACCTATTCAATATCTTAGCTTTTCATGTTTTCCTGTCGTTGAAGCAGGTTAAAAGAGCATAATCTGAGTCCATATCTTTCTATTATAAAAATTTTATTCTGAATTGTATGTACTTAATTTATGGTGTAATGTGAGGTCGACAATTTTCAACGTAGTCGGTAGAACATTTTACTTTAAGATGACAAACTAGAGATGGCTGCAAAATTCTGACTTAAAATATCCCAAGAAAGAGTAAGATGACAAATACTGTTCTCAAGACAGTTAGAGAATTTTTTTAGCTTATGGACACTGGGAGATTTACGCGCTGCATTCTTAGAGCGTAATTTCCTACAAAGAACTTTATCATCTTGAAATATCTGAAGTTTTATTTGTACGATTAAGAACGAATAATTGCCTGTAATGCGTAATCAGCCTTCAGCAATTGTTACTTATGAACGACTTGGTTCAAAACAAGCATGGCGGACAGCAAGGAGTAACATGACAACGCAGCCGAAAACAAGTAGGGAAAACTTACCGCTTTCACAACCTTGACGTTTCCTTTCTTCATATCGTTGAAAAATTTACACGAGGTTACTTTTTCCAAGTTTAAACGGCAAAATCAAACGCTACAAACCGCGTAACCAAGGGTCGCTTCTCGGAGAAAGAAAAGTTAGCGTTACCCTAGTAACAGGCTCTGGCTACCAAGCTCAGGCGAGGCTGCAAAGTAGCAACATGGCGGATGAGATGGACGAAACGACCTGCGAAGACGAAAAAAATCACTCTGACAGCGACTCTTGCGAGAGCTTTCAGGATAAAGAAGAAGCACCTGATGGAATTTCAAATTCATCAAAGCAAAGTTCGTTAAAAGATCCAAAATCGAATGCATCAAAAGTCAAGGAAGATTGGAAATGGAGGTTTCCCTATTTGTCGTACAGGAACTTTTTGCTTCAAGTAAGGTCGGTGAATGATAAATCAGTTGTAAAAGACCCTTATGCAACTGCGTCGGAGAAAAATCCAACGGAAGGTGAAGAATTAGAAGGGATATATGCAGATGACAAAGGGTATTTTCGGGGAGACATTTTTGAAGAACTGGAAAGTGATGATAACATTGGTTTTGCTGGTGACGTCTGCAAGCAACTGAATCTGATGCCTAATGTCGATATCTCTGATCATGAGCGGACTGCAATAGATGATGGCTCTTTAAAGACCGATCGGCAAACAGATTCTGGTACTCCAGAGATTATTGTTGTTCCAAGTTCACGATTTGTTCGTGAACTAAAAGTTGAAAAAGTCAATAGGAATTGATTATCAGCTAATTATTTCCAGATGTGCATCAGTTTACTTTCTCTTTCCTGCAAAATATGGTACAGAACTTTGTTTTATCATTCGGTGTGTATCGTAACATAGTCGGTTTCTTTATTTCAGTTATCTCATAATTTATATGCCATTCTTTCCTAAAAATTTTGATTAGCTCTGGAAGTGCACGTAGCGAAGAATGCATTCGTTGCCGAAAGATTAACGAAGAAGCGAGAGGTAGATATTATAGAAAATGTTACTATTCATTGTGGTTTTCCACATAAATAAATGTTTCATCGTTTTATCTCACGAAGCAGGAGTCGGGCCAATCAATCGTGTATTGATCGCGACGTTTCAACTGCTGTCATGTTTCAGGAGACGCATAGAAGGTTTACGTGTCGCTAGAGGGGCGTGGCCAGAATTTTTTAAAGGGGGGTCACACTATGTCAAACAGAGGGTACTCAGCAGATTGTCATGTCGATCTCCACACGCAGTGTTCTATTTAATGAGACAGAGAAAACCTTACAAGGGCGGGGAGGGGCATGGGGACCTTAGGACCCCCCTTCCTAGCTACGCCTTTGCGCTACAAGAAATGTAGCTGAGACAGGAACAGGCGAAATTTTCTTCAATGAGTCGCCCCAATCAATCAATCAACCACTTATTTTAACACGTTACGTCAAAGAGCTAAAAAAAACTCGTTTAAATTACGAACGTGTATAAATAAATTCTATAATAATTACAGCCATATAATATTTTTCAATTTTAAAACAACAGAAAGCCACATACTAAAAGCATGACTTGTTAAACTGTAGTACTCGTTCTAAAAGCAGTTAAAAGCTACAATAGTGCACTATAAGACACATTCTAAAAAGCTGCAATCGTGCAATGTACTTCTGAAGTCATTAGTATCACTTGAAAGACGCACTTGAGAAGGCAAACTGTTCCATAATGTAGTTAATGAATAAGTAAAAGAATTCTTCTTAAATTTAAGATTAAATTTAGGTAATTCCAAATTCAAGCCTTCGCCTCTTAGCCTATACGGTGTAGGCTTGTGTTTAAAAAGGCTTCCAATATAAATAGGGCCCGTACCGTTTAAGCATTTAAAAAGAAGTATTCACGCCTGGTGTAAGCGCCTACAGTATGACGATGTCATGCTAGCCGTAGTGAGCAGCTCGTCGTATGACATTGACTTGCTGTGCCCGATTAATGTTCTCAAAATATAACAGTTGCCATCTTTGAGACGGTTGCGTTGACCCGCACCTATGCCTACAAACAAAGGACTGCAGTATTGGAGATGAGGTAATATAAACTAAAATAGTAAAGCGCGCAAACCGTAGAAGGACATAGCTTTATGCATTCTGTGAATCCAACCTTTACCTCCGGAGTCCGGAGAAATCCTTGTCCATTGACAACCGATTTAAACCCATTCGATAGATAACAATTTGCATGCGCACATTTAGCAACCGAAAAGCCAGCTACAACAACAACAACAACAAAATTTATATGAGGCGTGAGTAGTCCAGTGGTCAGTGCGCTGGACTCTAGGTCAGATGGCCCGGGTTCAAGTCCTGGCTGGGGCTTGACGTTGTGTCCTTAAGCAAGACGCTTCACTCACATTGCTTCGTCTTCTCGGATAGGACGTAAAGCCGGAGGTCCCGTCTCCTGCACCTATCAATTAGTTAATTTCGGCAAGGGACGTTAAAGAACCCACATCACGAGATTACTGTGATGTGGTCTGGCCTGTTTACTGGGAAGGGGGGGAGGGGGCATCTGTAAAAATTTCTCCTTTATTAATTGTAAACTGCCGCCGGCAGTCTGGAAAAGTCCCCCGCACAGTGTTGTAAAGCGCATTAGAGCATTTACATGGAAATGCGCTATAGAAATTGATCTATATTATTATTATATTATTATTATTATTATATATTGTTTACCTAAATACCTAGACGAGCTTCGCTTAAGAATGAAATCTCACACTCTGGATATACTAGCCTTGGCTGAGACTCGTCTTGACAACACCTTACTAATTAAGTTCCTTATTAAGATCCTTATTCCTAATTAAGATCCTTATTATGGATATTCCATATTATTCTTATTTTTAACATACGTTGTTAATGTTAATGTACATGTAATTAGTTTTATAAATTTGAATTTACTGTAGTATTCTAAGTTGTTTAGCGCTGTTGATCATTGAATGAAAGTAGCGCTCTAGAAGTTATTAAATTAAATTAAATTCAATTAAACCTTGAATAAAGGCTGATAGTTTCTAAAGAAACTGTTTGGGGCTGCGTCGGTGGGGGTAACGAAATAATTTGAATATATCAACAAAGTTGAAATGGGAAATTGGCCACCGTTGCGATTATAAAAGCTGACGTTTCGAGCGTTAGCCCCTCGTCGGAGCGAATAGGGGAATTGTGGGTTGTGTGTGCTTTTAGAGGCAGAAAAAGGAGCTATGTGATTGGTGGAAACATGGCAACGAGAAAAACACGAATAAATTAGCGGAATGAAAAGCGTTCGTTGATACCTGTGGGATTTAGACTGCCGGTTTGAAAGATGAGCTTTTGTTCAAGAGTTTTCCGGCTTTCCGTGCTACCTAAGTGTATAAGGAGATTGCCATGTGTTGCTGAGAATGGTTAGGTAAATTAAAATGTCTAGCGACTGGTTCCGATTACGGTCCTTGTCATTCCTCTCCACGTCGCGAAGGTGTTCTCGGAATCTGTCATCTAGTCTTCTGCCTGTTTCGCCGATGTAAATCTTTTTCCCGGCAATAAGTGCAAGTTATGCAATAGATTACATTGGCGGAGGTGCACGTGAAGTGATCGGTGATCTTAATGGATCGTTTGGGTCCCGATATATTCTCAGTGTTGTGAATGAAAGGACACGTTTTGCATCGTGCACGAGCGCATTTAAAAGTGCCTGGTTGGTCATTAGTCGAAAGAACTTCTGACCAAAAAATTGCCTATGTTTTTGTCGCGTTTGAACGAAGGGCTAACGCTGTAAACGTCAGCTTTTATAATCGTAACTGTGGCCAATTTACATTTCAACTTTGTTGATATATTCAAATTATATTGACAACACTTTTACTGATTCTGCAGTCTCAATAGAAGGTTACACACTTGTTAGGCGTGACCGATGTAGAAGCGGTGGTGGTGTTGCCATTTACATTCGTAACGTGATTGATTTTAAAATTAGATCCGACCTCTCTGACCCAGACCTCGAATTCCTATGTGGTCAGATTCAAAAACCCAAGACGAAACCATTTCTTCTTTCAAACTGGTATAGACCTCCAAATTCACCAATTGAGCCATATGATAAGTTTGAGGTCCTCTTGGGAAAAATTGAAGCGGAAAATATTGAATCAAATATTCTTGGTGATATTAACTGTGACATGATGGCAATTACCCTAGCTAATGAAACCAGACACCTTAACGAGCTCTGTCAATCGTACCAATATGCTCAATTGATCAGGGAGCCTACACGCGTCACATCAAGTTCTAAATCACTTATCGACTTATTTCTTAGCAACGAGCCAGATAAATTTGTTACATCAGGCGTGTCCGTTATTGGCTGTAGCGATCACATGTCTCGAGAAAACTAACATGTCCTAGTTCGTCCCCGCGAATAATTGAATCAAGACAATTCAAAAACTTTATCCCCGATTATTTTTTAGAAGACATAGCGCTGGTTCCTTGGTACATAATTGAGCATATAGAAAATCCTATAAGGGCATGGGAGATGTGAAAACATTCTTTTTTAACAGTGGCCAACCTTCATGCACCAGCTAGGAAAAAGAGAGGTAGAAACACTGAAGCTTTCTGGCTCACTCCCGAAATCTTGCGATTGATGCGGGAAAGAGAAAGAATAAAACGAATCGCCACTATCACTGATGATCAGTCGAAATGGGCAGAGTACAGACGGCTTAAGAATCGAGTCAACCATTCTATTAAGGCTTCCAAGAAGGATTACTTTCATTCTTACTTTGAGGATAACGTTGGGAAAGCAAAGGCAATTTGGAATGGAATTAATACACTACTATCGCGTACGAAAAACTTTGCTCAGGCCACAAAATTGATCATTGGTGAAGCGGTGGTAACTGACCCCCATGAGCTCAGCAATGCATTTAACAGGTATTTTACCGGGATAGGCCCCAGCTTAGCGTCTCAAATTAATCCCCCTCGGGTCGGCTTTCGTGATTTTGTTGAATCTCGTGACAGTACCTTCGAGCTAAAATTACTTACTATTGATGAACTGTGTAAACTTGTGGATGATATCCCTGTGGGAAAGGCTGATGGACTTGATGGGATCCCAACTTCCCTCCTAAAGTTATCGTTTACATTCATTGCATCTTCTTTAACTCATTTATTTAAGTTAGTTATTTCCACTGGAATCATTCCCAACGACTGGAAGTGTGCTATAGTAACTCCAATCCACAAAGCTGACTCGAGGGTTGATCCAGCAAACTACAGGCCTATTTCTGTACTTTCTGTAATAGCTAAGCTCTTTGAAAAAGCAATTTTCAATCAGGTATACTCATATTTAAATGAGAATAACCTACTTTCTAAATATCAGTCTGGCTTTAGACCCATGTACTCTACTCTGACGGCTCTCATTGATATCACAAACAATTGGTATCTCAACATCGACAATAGTTTGACGAATGCCATTCTGTTTATAGATTTAAAAAAGGCATTCGACACTATTGACCATGAGATCCTTTTGTCAAAGCTGGAGTTGTATGGGTTTAGGGGTGTAAGCCTTAACCTTTTTCGAGACTACCTCACTGACAGAACTCAGGTCACAGTCGCATACGTTGTGGGGTGCCCCAAGGTTCAAACCTCGGACCCCTACTATTTCTATTACATATTAATGACCTTCCCAACTGTGACCTTCTGTCAGATGTGAGGATGTACGCCGATGACACTAATCTCACGTTTGCCTTCAATGACCCTGACGAGCTGTTTTCATCCCTGACCCACGATCTGAGCAATCTGAAACAATGGCTTGACTCTAACCGTTTAAGTCTTAACGTCCTCAAGACGAAGTGTCTGTTTACAGGCACAAGGTAGAAAATCTCTTCGCTCCCTAGTGAACCTTGTATTTACCTTGATGGACACTTCATTGAAAGAGTCAATAGTTACAAATGTCTTGGTGTTCAGGTGGATCAAACACTCTCATGGGAAGCCCATATCTCCAAGGTCGCCAGTAAAATTTCTAAAGTACTTGCTGCGCTTAGGAGGCTAAGACCGATATGTCCCCAAGGTACCCTGGTCACAATTTATAAGTCACTGGTTCTTCCACATTTCGACTATTGCAGCGCTGTGTGGGGAGAAACTGGATCCAATAATAGAATTCGAAGCTAACTGGTAAATTTTCCGCGTAGATAACTTAAAATTGCTGTACAGGCTTTCGCGAGCATCATATATCCTGATTTGCGAGGGACTTAGACGATAACGCCAACAGGTGCTTAATCGCATCGTTTTCAGCGTATTCATAAACGCAACAAAAGAATTACAAAGTCTTGCGTTTTCACAAATGAAGGCCTATTTACAGGCGCTCAGTATACTAAAACTTCTGAATCAAAATGGTAACCTCAGTGCTTTAAAGAAGCTTGGAGCATAGTTAATCGAGGGGAGTATATCAAATTGTTTGTTTTGTTTTAAGTTATTTTTGTTTTTGTCTTTTGCGTCAATGATTTATCAACTTTAAAACTGATAGTTTATCAAATCTTTAATTCTGTGATCTCACTGCCTAGCTTAATACAGTTCCAAGTTACGAAAAACGTGGGTGAGATCCAGTTTTTTTTTCCTTTGAACAAATTTCGAGCATTTACGGAACCGACTGTTCTATGAAGACTGTCTCTTATCTCTTTCAGTGCCGTTTTAATGTTAATTTGAATGTAGCTTGTCATTGAACCAAGATATAGCACATTGCTCCGAAAGAAGAAACAGAACCACACACTCTGCCCTCAACACCAATTCCAATTCCAGAATCACATGTACGGCAGTCATTTTCGTTGTTCCCGAGGATACCGATTCTTGCTCTGCGATGGGTGGTTGGGGCATTGAACCCTTCCTTGTTGCAGTTGGGTTGCAGACCATGGCTTGAACCGGCTCGACCAGTTAGCGCTATCCACCTGTTGCGACCCAATGAAGTGGCCCGATAATGTCCATCAGCAATCAGAGAGTGAAGAGAGGAAGCCTGTTTGTTGATGACAGTGAACTTCAACTGTCCGCTGACCTTCATACCAAGACAGATCTTGGAGAAAGGTGTGTTCCAGTAGGTCGGTAACTTGGTCTCTTGTGAATCGAAACCAGTCGTACCCCCAGACGGGTTGTATTCACTTTTGTCAGTCCAGTACCCCGAATTGTACGGAAATGTGTTCTACGAAATAATTTTAATACAATGAGTAATCAATCTAATGCAAAGAGAAGCATCAAAACTGATAAGTAACAACGTTATGCAAGTTGATTCAGAATCTGATCAGGTAAGGTAATTCTTATTATATCCCGTTCAACTCTTCAACTTCCTAGATCTGATTGATCTTTCTCCTCTCCAGCTACTACACATTTTCTTGTAAATTAGTTATGAGAATTTGGTGTTGGATCAAGGTAAAAACAAGAACATCTTAAACATGAATACAAAACAAAATACTTCTAGAAATCTGTTGGCTTGGATTGAAAAAGGTAAGATTTATCTAAGCTAATATAGCAGTAAGGAATTTAAGGCTGATATTGAGAAACGTAAAAATTGGCAATAAACTCGACCAAGGATAAAACCATTGTTGACTGAGTATCGTATGCTATTATTGGCCAAGTATAGTCTGCCATCATTGGCCAAGTACAGTGTGCCATTATTGCTCAAGTGCAGCACCCATTATTGGCCAAGTATAGTGGGCCATTATTGGCCAAGTATAGTTATCATCGGCCCAGTATAATCCGCCATCATTGGCGCAGTATAGCCAAGTACAGTATGCCACTATTGGCCGGGTATAGTGCACCATTTTGGGCCCAGTATAGTGAACCATTATCGGCCAAGTATAGTCGGCCATTATTGGCCAAGTATAGTACGCCCGCCATTATTGGCCAAAGTTTGAGTATTCTCATTACCTGTTTGCTGGATAATGTATAGCTATTATAGGGAGAAGTTACATGTCAATCTCTTCTGGAGTTAAAGGGTTAAAACCGCGTTTTTTATATCGAGGGGAAAAGGAAGGTTTGGAGAATATTTGATCTTACCTGCAACGCGTTTGCGCATTATTACTTTACCTCTCTCGCTCTGATTCGTCGCAAACACCAAACCATCTTCAGTAACACGAAACTCGAAACAGACTTCTAAAGTCTGGGGTATGAGATAAAAGTACAGGCCTTTGTTCAAGACCAATGAAGTGAGACATCAGTGGTTGGAGATATTTGAATTCCACTTGGTACCAGTAACGGTAAATTAGTGAGTCATTTATTTGTCTGCAGGCTCAAGGAAGAATTTCATCGAAAAAAGTAACAACCTACCTTATTGCCATCAATCTTCATAACTGGTGTCCAAGTTCCATCTCCACATCCAAAATCTCCCATTCGACAGAGAACGGAGACCGTTTTCCAATTTCTGAAGTACAAGGTAACTAGCTGGCTGGCTTTCGACCTGTGCAACGAAACAGATTCTGAAAAAAACATGCAATTGCATTTTCTCCGAAATTAACTCGATCTAATAATTCTTCAACTGAAGTATAGTTCTAAGCAATATGAGTTTCAACATGAGAACGTGGCTCTGAGGATTTCATTGGGTGAAGTTAATTGACGAATGCAGGAAGTATTGCCGACGGGAAATTCAACAGATTATCTAATCAACAGATTACCTCATCTAAAGTAAGAGTCTAATTATATCACTGACTACTTCCCAATCCAGAGTTTAAGATGAACGCAAATATCCAGTTTTCTCTCTCGTCATTCATGTAAAAGAAGTTCAAACTTACTTGTAGAAATTTGTCACATCTTTACAAGACTCGAAGGCTAAGCATAAGATAAAAAAAAAATTATACGTTACAAATGATGTCTTCGGCAGCGAGGATAGGAGTTTTTTAATTTTCACTGAACTTTTATTTTCCTGACACCGTAGGAGTAGTTAACAAGCAACAGAAATGATGGTGACTATCCACCCCTTACTGTGGATATACAGTGCTGTATCAAACGAGTTCGTCGGAGGAAGGCCTTCGATAAATTTCGGTTGGGTAAGGGATCAGTTGCAGTGATACCGACGCAAAGAGCACTTGATTGGCTATGCTATACTTAATCTGCTAAAACAATCATTGAACAGACCACCAAATACTATGCAAGTAAATGTTGAGCCAACTTGACAATTGCGAGTAACGTCTAACCTTTCTCGCAGAATTCTCCACTGAAGCCTTTCTTACAGAGGCATTCGAACATGCCATTTTTGTAACTTGGTGCACAGGTCCCCTCATTTTGGCACGGCGAGGAAGAACAGGGAGACTAAGGAGAAGGAGAACCATTTAATAGTTGAACAACTACATTGATATAAAAGTGGATCTACCGTTAAGTAACATTTCGCTGGTTGTAGAGCCTTCTGCTAAACCGGAAGGATATACAGTACTTTCACGCATGTGATAGACTCAAAGTGAGGTTTCGAATCAAATTCTAGACGCCTCCTCGCAGACTCAGGCAGTTTTAGGCCTTTTAAATACTTAGCAGTAGACTTTCACGATCCCTAAAGAATAACTGTTACCTTGATGACGAAATGATGAGAATTTTTGTTTCCTCTGTATTCCGTGGAGTTTCTGTTTTTGTCAGAAGAGAGCAATTCGCACCAAAACTTTCCTTCGATTCCTCTAGAGGATGCTAGGTTCACAGAATAACATGACGAATGACTGAGGCACCTAAATGTACACTCAAAGCTATCATCCACTGTGTAAGTTCCAATTCTGGAAACATTCAAATAGCGAAATTCTTCTCTCACAAACACATGCTGTCGAACAGTCTGTGGGGGGGAGTAGATATCATGGACACCTGGTTGAGGCAAAAGATAAGATGATACGTTAGGCAAACTCTACGTTGAATAACGCCAGAACTTTAAAATCCTCTAACTCCCAAGACCTGATGAGCAATTTTCCCTTCTAATTACCAAACATTTCCTGCGAATCTGTTGCTTTTTCAATGGAACAATTTCTCTCAATTTGTCTCTTGGGTAATGCATTGATAGAGGGTGACAATGGGGTAATGGTTTTTACGGCTAACGGTAAAAATTTTGGCCATTTTACGGCGGCTAATAACAATCAACATCCTTCCTTTGTGATTAGAAGAAAAATTTTACGGTTAACCTTTTTTTACTCCTAACGGCTAAAATTTTTCAATTTCTAGGCTTGACGGCTAAGGATAAAGTTCTAGCTGTTGTATTTTTTCTCCTTTTGCCATGTAAAGCTCTTCATAGAAAACACAAATAAACGGCCCCTTATTGTTTTATTCACATTAGATTTATGATAAGATAAAAGACAAACACGTGAGTGGATCTGGCTGCTATTTAAAGAATGGACGCAATTAACCATTACTTGCAAATTCGTGGATCGTGTGCCTAGTTTCTCGAAAAAATAAATTTGGAGGAGTTTTTCGGAGAGCTCACAAGTTTCTCTTTCCCGGCCATCTGTATCGTGACTATCAAAGATATCTGGGCGATTTCATCGTTATGGATTCAGTTGCCGCCCTTTTACCTTATTTTTTGTGGCCATGCAAATCATAACATTAATATTTTAACATATTTTGAGAAATGGTCAACAAACTAGCTTTTCAGCAAAATTAGAATCACTGAGATCTTTGTTTCGTTTCATGTACCAATTGCATCATTCTTTTTTAATGGGTCACGAATCATTTTTAAGTTGCACCATTTTAGGAGTGAGGAAATGGAGATTAGTTTTCAATTATCCGCTGGTTATGTGATTTTCATCATCATTTGAATGTAAGACATTATACAAAATGCAAACGTGACAATGATGAGCTTAGCAAAGTAAACACTAGAACATTGGATGTGTTCTCAAAATATTGGTTTTCAATCTGACAGCTCGTGGGCCGGCTGGCGGTATACTTTACGACAGAGTTTTGGCTCATAGAATTTCACTATTATTTGTGTAGAGAAAATGAATTATCTTGAAAATTTCAATTTTCCAGTCATACTAATTTAAAATGCAAAGAAATGCGTAGGGAAAAAGAAAAAAAGACACGCAATTATGTTTGAGATATTTCAAACTAAATTGAGTTGCGAAATAATTTGAAATTTGAAACCAGCTAATTTTCAAGTTCATAAATAATTCACAAATGTCACGATGACAGAGTGAAATTTTTCAGGCCCAAGGACAAAAGTTCTCCATGATTAGAGTATAACGTAGTCGGTTTTTTTTCCTATGACACTACCTAACGTTGATGTTTTAAATATAATTTAAGAAGCCCTGCAGTAATTCCCGGACCACTAATTTGCTTTTTAAACTACCGCATGATTAATAAAGATTAGATGGCATGTCATATTCAAAGTTAAAATTAAAACTAACTACTCGGTTACCGCATAGAGAAACAAGCCCTTGAATGTCTATTTCAAAACTGTTCAGATTTTTACATGACAGGAAACCTCGTTGCATGCGTATTCAAGATCTTCTGAGGTAATTTCACGTCGACGTCTTTGACAACGAAGAAGAATAACAACTTGAAGACATTTTTTGGGAAACTTTAAAGGTGAACATATGATTAAAATGATTAGTTCTAAGAAGATTATGCTTTATGAAGGAGTCTAACTGTATATCAATTAGCTTCCTATACAGGAATAATGGGTAAAGTTGAGTATGGCAAAGCTGGCTCTTTGAAATTTATGGAAGCAGGTTATTCTCAATCTCTATCTTACGAGCATGCCTCAAAAATACCTTTTTCAAAAGATCCGCACACTAACCTTGAGAACAAGCTGCCTCGAGGATCAGATCAGACCAGATAATTAAAAGTGAATAGTAAAACTGAAAGTAAACCAGAAACATGACTGAAACTGCACGATATCAGACCACGAAAGCGCATAAGTGTTGAACTTAAAACGAACTGTTGTTAAACGTTTTTTTATGGCTAGATAAAGCTCTTGAGCCGATTTCAACTGACCAATCAGAGAGCTTATTTCAAGGCAGGTGCCCCCCTTATTCACTTTTATTCGCCAATATCTTCCGATGTCTGTTAAATTTTAATGAAGGTTTTACTAAGCTTCCTATTTATCAATTTTTCATGCGTAGCGTGCGTTCATCGAGAATAGGCCACTTGACAGTTATGTAGTTAGTTGCCAAGCCTTTGATTCAGAGTGAGGCTAAAGGTGACCTTGTTGTGATAGAGACCTGTATCTAGTTAGCATGACAACAAAGTGATTTACATTTGAAAGACAGCCAGGTTTGTTTCATAACAAGGTCACCCCTAGCTTAACTTCCCGTTCAAAGGCTTGGCAACCAAGCACACAACTGTAAAATGGACTATTAAAGCATACGGGAAGTTCGGAGAGCACGAAATATGCGTAAGAGTTGCTCGAGGCGCAGCCTCGAGCAACTCTAGCTTCGGCAAGATTCTCGGCTGTTCCCACGGAATTGTGCATCGCAGAAGTTTTAGAGAGAGAGCTAAGTAGCAAAGCTCTGAAGTATAGCCACTTTGAACTGAATATCATTACAATCGAGAAAAATAAATTTCCACGACTGGTTTAGATTGAATGCTGTCTTTTGTTTTTAAAGATAGGTACTTGAATTGCTTACATTGGTTCTAAATAAATGTTTCGAATAAACGCCGCAATATCGAGAAAGTTTGCGCCGTTTCTTTGAGGGCGGCGTTTATTCAAAGGACGGCGTTTAATGATATTTATGCTTGTCCCTGCGGCGTTTATTCGAGGGCGGAGTTTATTCAAATAATTACGTTATTCCAGAATGACCAAGTACCAAAGCAACCTCAGCGTTCACTTCACTTCTCTCATTCGTCCTTGAGGGTGTAGTAGGTTCACTTACAACAGCATGGAACACAGAGTTGAGGTAAGATGTATGTGATATTACCAGGTATATCACAGTACTTATTAAGATTAGACAACCAAAATCATGGCAAAGTTAGACGATAGTTATCTAGTTTTCCTCTGTTACAACCTAATCATCATTATCATGCAGCTAATTTTTTTATTCGTTCTTGCTATTTAGCCCCTTATACGTGTTATTTTAGGCTGCGGAAGTGTATCTGGTATATGTTTTTATATTTTTGTTTCGTTTCTTTGGTTTACATTCATTTCAAATGACTATAAGAGACCAATAAACGTTTCTGGTGTAGTATAAAAAGATCTGCTTGATTGATCTAAGCAAACTTCGTGCCATTTCAGTTTTGCACTTTCTGCCCTAAACGAAAAAGTCCAAGGGTGTTAACGAATAAGCAAATCAAGGTTTGTTGTTTTTTGTTTTCCGTCTAAAAAGAACTGCGGATAATTTTTAAGAGCAATCAAAGATCAAGGGTTTTTTTTAGATTAAGCAAGACTCGACTAAAACCACAATCAAAAATGTTCGAGCCCCAATGCACGCAACAAATTACAGGCAAAATGCACAAAAGCCAAGAGAGATAAAGCAGGATTTACAACTGCGCGGTACTTTTGTGGCTATAAATTTCTTGCAAAAAGCTTGCAGTAACATTTCAAGGGAAATTATTGAGCAGCACCGGTCCAAATTTATAAGAATGAAGCGGTACTTGATTCAAGCGCTAAATCCTTCCATGACTAAGTGTACGGTACGCTTGCTAGCTCTGGTGATTTAGCTTTTCTTAAATTGTCAAGGAATTGTCGGTTACTCTTGGTGTAAAAACCCAAATGGTATTACAATGCTATTTCTTATGTCTAAAATCTGGCTATTTATCATCACTTATGTTTTCTTATTACTAGACTGAAAATACCATGAATCGTCTTGCTATCGTTTTGATTGGATTAGCTATTGTTGGTCTTGCTAATGGAAACTGGCGTGAGAAGGAGAGCTTTATGGAATGGCTTAATAGGCGAGAGCCCAGCAGAGTATTAACTCATAATGAAGGCAAGACTTGATGTCATTTTCAGGCAGATTCCACGTTTATCAGATTTACACATAGGAGAAACTTTTCCGACTCCATTTCTAATCAATCGGGAAAGATGTCAGTTTCGAACAATAGATGATTTACGTATGATGCACGATCCTCGCAGTAGAGAGCGCTATTTATGCATACCATACGTATCTAATACCGCAGTTCAAAATATATGAACTTCATGTATACATTGTATCTAATAGGTGATTTGCAACTAATCTCTAGAGACGCAGGTAACAATGGTAAAAGGAACAAATGCTGGTGGACGAAGAAAAGGGCACTATTGTTTACGTCCACCAACAGGGAGGCAATAACGTAACTTGCAAACCACCAATTGGTGAATGATTTTACTGATGCATTCAGAGATGTAAGGGCTGGTTAATTTCAGAAGTCTGCTTGATATCTTGTCCACCCACTACTTTTAAAAGCATTTTGTCAAGACAAAGTTTTGTGCACTGAACCCGAAATTAGTATTTATTTCACTCCCCCATGGATTCGAAAATGACTGTTTTTTCCCGAGGATGTAACACGAGAGCTGATTGTGCTGAGTTACAACTATTTTTTTTTTTTCAGACATGGAAGATCCCGCTTCATTGGACTCTTATCCAAATTGTCAGTGCAGCGAGAAATATGTCTCCGCTGTGACGTCAGGGGAAAAAGTTTTCTGCAGCCTGTCTTTTGTATAGTATTAAATATATTAATCAGTAGTTTCACTAGCAACCTTTTGTGGCTTCCCTTGGGAAAAAGTTTTCTGCAGCCTGTCTGTCAGGATATGCGCAGTGTGGTGACGTTGACAGTGATGGTCGGACGTGCTGTCGTAAAGTTTAGAAGTACAAATTGTTTTGTTGTAAACAACAAATGTATTGCTGTAACCAACGGTTTCAAACTGTGTTCTTTAATATCTGTTAATACACATGTGCGTT